GTTGCCACTTCACCACCATCTCCCCTTGAGATTAGCTATGTTGTTATATGAAATTTGTTTCATACATTCAACATGATGGGAACCTGTGACTATACTGATTTGGCACTGCTACCAACACTGCAGAGAGTTCAGACTGTAAGAATCAACAGGCTGTGTGAGAAAGTACAAGTAATAAAATGGTCAATATTTTACACACTCCTTACACATGCTGACTCACAAGTTGATAACTGATATATTGAACTCCCAAATTACAAGACAGTGAACAAATAGCTATGATTGATTCAAGGCTGACGCTAGATATTGATCAGATTATTTGACTTCCTTATCTTCCCTGGAAGAATCCTCAATAACTGTGACAGAGATCCTGTGAAGGCACAGTATTTAAATAACTCCTGAAATGTGGGTTTTTTTTAATTTTAAAGATTTCATGTGTTTTTTTTATACAAGATACTGAATGAAATTCAGATGGACAAAAGTTGGGTATGCATTTGGCCAGAATGCATAATGTTGCTTTTGTTGATTTGAACTTGACAGAAATTCTTGTTTAGTTCCACTTCACGTAGGCATCTACATTTTCAACATTGGGAAATACATGATAATATTCACTGTAAACAAGACAATAATAAAAGGCAGAACACAAATTTTCTTGTCTATGTCAAGGAGACTTTTGCAATATCACAAAATACCCGAAAATAAGCTGAAAACTGGTTACACTGAGTCTTGAAGTATATTGGGAGTTCCTTGATGGTCTTGTAATGTGTGGAGCCGGGGAATCGAATGTGTTAAGAATCAGCTCTTGCTTCAATGACCTCGCGTGGAACCAGGATAAGACATAGACTAGTACATTCATACAGTCAGATGTGGTCAATGAACATTGAAAAATATACAAATGAATCAGCTGTGAACAATGGATTGATGCAGTACCTAAGCTCCATTTTCACAGGCAATTGGTCTCCACCTTCTTTCCAGTGGCTTTGAAATAGGCGCACGCTAAATATGAGAAAGAATTAGTGACAGAATGCTAATGGAACCCAACCCTGAAAATGGCTGAAGCTGCTCAATTGCCTTCATCCAATAACCAACAGATCCTCCACTGAGGATCCCTAATTGGTCATTTGCAAATCAGTCTCGTAATTTTCAGCCAAAAGATTTGATCATACATATGTGTATTTAGATGTACTTGCTTCAATTATGGCTCATGTAGGGGTGCTGGGCTGATTACTGGGAGACTAACTACAGTGTTGAGATGGGTTGAAGAAATCCCTGAATTCACTTAGCCTCATCATAGTATAAACAAGGTGGCACCTTTCACCAAAATGCACCAATTACCACTGGTGAGTTTGGAATATGATTTCAGGATTTAGCAATTAGAAGCATTTGAAGGATTTACCTGGCATAGCTGTAAGATATTCAGGTGAACCTACAGTGATAATTCAAGCTTTGCTGGCTTATAGGTCCATTTGTAAAGAGAATGGTAACATTTCTACATTAGGACTTTAATATTCAGAACTGACCTCACTGTCCTGGTGAGTGATTGAATGCTGACAGCTGCATATATCATCACATAGTCTCCATTACTTTCCCTGCAACCTGGATTATTCCAAAGTGGTTTCAAATTGTGCTCTTAACACTAACAGCCAATTTGATAACACCCAGTTTTGATGATGTGCATGCCACTCCTGATCTCTGTACTTTCGTATTTTGTAAGATTTCTAGCACTGCTTCAAAGTCATTGTATGGCCACCTTTTGCTTTCTGCATTCTGCTGCTAACAGATGGGTAACTTTTCAAGACTGTGATGCCAGCAGGGTGTGACCTATGGTAAGAAAATAAAGGTCACAAATGGCAAAAGAGTTTGCATGTTTCAAACATCATATCGTGATGAGAGAGACACACTTTGGATCTTTCCAACAAGGTGAAACTCCTGAGGACCAAGAGAATTGATTATTGTTTTTAATTCTCATTCCACTTTTCATATATCTTTGACCAGTAAAGATAATGAAATCATCAACTAATTGAGCTATTGGAGACTGGAAGAAAATGAAATGTTTCTCAACTGTTTTAGAGTTAGAGTACAGTATTTAATTTGTGCACTATTTTCCTCATCTTTTAACTCTGGAACATTTGTTTCAAAGTAGAAGTAAAGAAAGATTTGCATGTATTTAGCATTTTTCAGGGCCTCAACATCCTAAAGCATTTCTCAACCAACAAAATACTTTTGAAGTGTAATCATTGCAGTAGTGCAGAAAAGCCTGCAGCCAATTTATGTACAGCAAGTTCCCACAAGGAGCAAGTGATAAAGACTGGATGACCTGTATTTAATGAGCTTTGTTGAGAGATAAATATTCCTCATGGAACAAGGTGAGCTTTCTGTTCTTCTCTGAATAGTAACACTGGATCTTTATATCCACCTAAGAGGGAAGGTGGGGCCTCAATTTAAATCCTTGTCTGAAAGACAGAATCTTTGACAATATAGAACTCCATCAGTACTGCAGTGAAGTCACAATGAAAAATATGCTTGTAAAATATGTGTATTCCCTTGTCAATTATTTGAAGTGCTTGCTATTTCTGTGGAAACGTTTTTAAAATGACTAACTTTCTGAAGCAATATTTTACAAGACTGGCAAACTTTATTCTTTCATCGGATATGAGTGGCATTGTTACCCATCCCTATTTATCGTTGAACTGAATGGGCTGCTAGGTTATTTTAGAGGGCAGTTAACTGTCAAGCACATTGCTGTGGATCTGGAGTCATATATAGGCCAGACTGCAGATTTCCTACTCCAAAGGGCATTAGTGAACCAGATTTTACATCAATCAATGGCAGTTTCCTGATTAAGATTAGTTTTCAATTTCAAATTTAATCATTGAATTAAAATATTACCAGCTGCCCTGTCACCTGGGCCTAGTCCAGTAACGTCACCACTATGCCATTACCTCCCCACCTAATCAATCCTGCATTACATTACTGCTCTGCCAGATGACATGATTATTCCATTGCTCATCAGTGATGGAACTTTAAATTCTATCTTGGTTTTATTTCATGATCAGTGCTATTTTGGTTTACATCCCAAGAATCCATAATCATGAGCTGGCTCCTGAATGTACACAGCTAAATCCAGCTCCCTGACTTCGAGTACAGATCAGGTTTTCATGAAAATGTCATTCATTCCTGGAATCCAAACTAAAACAGTGTTGAGATTAAATCTGATGTTTATTTCAGATTCCAACAGCTCTCACTTTTAAAAATAAGCTTGCACTTTTAAAATATTAAATTCTGTATAATTTTAAAAAAACTACAGTTGCTTACAGATTTTTATTGTTAGTATTTTTGCAAATATTTTTGCAACTTATTCCCTGTCGATATGCAAAATAAATGTTGAAGGTTAAATGCATTTACTAAGAATCATTACAGTTATACTTTCATTCCTTTGCTGAAAGTGCTGATTTTGGGTACAATTGTACAGACGTTGGCAGCTTTTTAATGTGTCATATGAGTGTCCTTGTTTCATGTGTTATCCTGGGCAAGAGTTGTTGAACTGGGCATCTATCTGGGTTATAGCAGCCAAGCCTAATCAAATCCTCACCTGGCAGCAATAAATCCATGTTTAGCATTATGGATTATCGAGTTGCAATAGGATAGCTAATATTTACTTTCCCTGAATTAGCAGTGGTCAGGTAATATAAGGCATGTTAGCAATTTCATCTCAGGTTTTCCTGATATATAACACTGCTCAACACAATGAGAACAATCACAGTTTTCACGTATGTCTTATTTTTGGGGAATGATATCCACAAAATTCATACACTGTGCTTCAATGCAAAGAGGCTGAAGTACAAAATCTCAACAGGACATCTAGGATTTCATTCTATTTCTATCAATAAATTAAGTCCAAGTTGCAAGCCATTTCAGTGAGTAGTATTAGAAAGGAAATGGTTAATGGGAATATTGTTTTAAAGAGACATATGATTTGATAATCAATATTAAAATACTTAAATAGTCCTGTTTAAATATGGATTTAAATAGGTTAATTGCAATTCCAGCTTTCTACTCTAATTTATTTACATTAATTAATGGGGACAATATTCATTTTGTGTAAAGGTATCTTTTAACCCAAATTTCAGTCCTGTACATTTTTACTATATGTGCTTTAGTGAGGCTTGTATAGCCCAACTTTCTAGAAACTTTACCACAAAAATAAAATGCTGCACATGCTAGCAATGTGAAATAAAAACCAATGCTGAAAGTATTCAGTAGGTCAGGCTGCACCTGTGAAGTGGAAACAGAGGCTCAAACCTTCCAGTATTTATATTGTCAGAGATACGACCAGTGATGCATATCAGGGCTCTGTGGAAGTCCTGACCTGTTGACCTCTGTGGGAATTGCCTGGGCATTGTTAATAGGCATTTCAGCTTCCAATGAGCATTTATTCTGTTCCCTGGGGCCCTCCGCAAATGTCTCCAAATTTGAGTTAGAATCAGAGACTTTGGACAGTTCCAATGTGTTTACCTGAATAGTTAGTCAGGAAATGACAGACAGAAGTATACTAACTCCTAGGTAGCTCCAGAACTGTCATCCCAATAACGGATCCCCTGACAAACTCTTGACTAACCCCTGATATTGGAAATACCCTCCATCTCCCTCCACTATCACCCACCAACACTCCTGACCACCCAGCTACACCTCTGGATCTGACTATCCCCTTTTCCATCTCCCACCCTGCTGCCTCACCACCACCTGTCTCTTCACCATCCGCCACTCCAGGCACCTCACCCACCCTACATATTCACTCACGCTTCCAACTATAAACCCTAAAAAAACTTCTTAAAGGTGAAGTATGACACTGAAGCCAGTGATTGAACAATCTGAGTCCTTCATCAATTCCACCATGCATAGAATGCTTGTATGAATGCAAGTTATACAAAGTTAATTTTTTTTGTCACTTTATGACTGGCTTATCCAATAGTTTTAGTTCTTATGAATTATTTTGATACTCTCACCTGCCTGTTGTGTTCGGCTCCTGATAGGTATACTTCTAGGACCATCACCAGCGGCATTAAATGCACTCACACTGATCAGGTAGGTAGTGTATCCTGTTAGATTCTTGAGCTTCACATTGGTTTCAGGGAGGAAAAGGGTCTTCAGTTTTTCTGTCTCATTTTGTCGCTGAAATTCCCAGTAGTAAATCTAAAAGAAAAGCCGTGTCTTAGAGCACTTTGAAAAACTTGAGTCTCATAACTTTATCCTAAACTAATCATGTGAAAAAACCCATTTAAACGTAACTTTTTAAGTAACATATCTGCAACAGGAAAGAAACTTCAAAAGGTCTTGTAACCTGAGCTATCATTTTCTTGCCTTTTCTAAAAGTAGGCAAGTACAATTAAAATAACCAACTGTAACGGTCTTTCATTTAGTGAGTTACTAAAAATAATTTATTCAAAATCTACAATCTAGACGATATTATAATATTGTGACTATCGCAAATGAAATTTGGTGGAATTAATCAGTGATGTCAGTTCCTCACTGTCACCTCAGTTGCAACTGCATTGATAGCTACAATTGAGCATATCAATAATGAATATTAGCAATTGCCTAATTGATATTAAGTAATTAATGATCAAAAATGATCTGGTGCTGCTGGATATATACACCTGCGATGCATAGCTCTTGCAGAGAGGTTGGCAACATCAAAGATAAGTTTGCATGAGGCTCTGGTGGGGAATCCTCAATATCATAGAGGCCAAAATGAACATGACAAGTTTATTCAGGCCAGTAGCTGGGAAGATCAGGCTTAAGGAAGACTTAGCTCTCAACATCTCAGTTAATTCTGGTAGAAAATTGGATACTAAGCTAGTTAGCTAAATTAACAAGGCACGTTGCAGAAGATGCAATGAACACACCTAAAGTATTGTGTCCAAGTCTCAAGTCAGACATTCAACCCTTTTATGTGATGTAGAAGAGAGCCATGAGGATGACATCTAGTGCTGGTTGTCTTATGAAGAAAGATTTGAGCATCTTGTATTTCTCAATTTTGAAAGGAAGCGATCAAGAAGGATTCTAATAGTCGTAAATAAGGTAGCAAATGGTACATTAAAACTAAATTATGGAACACTGCTTCTTGGTCTTTTCACTGTAATGTAACATTGCAATAGGATAAAGCAGCGTCCCTTTGATGAAAGATGATTCTTCAATATCAGGCTTTCTTTTACACAAAGGGTTACATATATGCAGATTATATTTCTAGTTCACACAATGAAGACAAACGTGGAAAAGCTCAATGCATAATTAATTGTGATGAAGTAAGAAACTGATGGTTTTCCAGATGGCTGTTGATGGGCCAGATAATGTTCCTTTTTAGAGTTTTTTTTCAAAATCTTGTGAACTGCAATAAAAAGTTTAAAAAGTAGACATTATGCTTTACTTAAAAAGGCAAACAGATAAAATTACCGACAGGCATTTTGAATTAAGGACTTTAAAATATTATACTGCTTTCAAAGTTGGGCATAAGGTTGTATGATCCATTGTTGGTCACAGGAGAAAGATTAAAGCTAATACATTCCAACTTCACACTATCACATGATGCAATTTGGGAATGAACGTTCTCAATTTATAATGTACTATAAATGGATAAAGCTCAGTACAGAGATAGGATTGTTTTCTTTTTTGTTAAATCTGAAGAAAAGGATGTACAAAATTGATTTGCAATGACTTAATAGGCACATATGTGAACTCTTGTCAAGAAAGAAAGTAACGAAGGCATATGTAAGAATTTCAACAGCAGTTGGGCTGAGGCAGAGCCTCCAATTTTTATATTTTACATTGATAATATTAATGTATCTGTTACACTTCAATTACTGACTGTTACACATACAAATTTAAATGTCACACTCAAAGTAAGCATAACTTTAAAATAAAAAGAGTCATTTTGTTTGTTAATTGATCAATGAAAGGCAGAGCAGTCATAATTGGTAGCTTCAAAGAAACATACCAGATGAACTTCAGCAGCAGAATGGTATATTTGGACTTTGTATAGTGCATTCTGTCAAAGCAATATATTTTCTGGCATATCTTAAACAGTATTCTAAGACTTCTGTTCTTATATTCACATGTAATCTCGCACATTGCCTATGTTTTCCATAGGTTTGCTCAAATTAAAAAGACACGGCATACAGGAGATCATACAATCTTAAAGCATAGGGGGAGGTCATTTAGCTCAAGAGAATGAACCAAAGGACCAGAATCAGTGATTCTGTACTTCCCACATACATGAAAATTCAGGTCAAGGAGTCTGAATGTGATCTATTAAACAGAGTTCTGCAAATGCGTTGTAACAAACCAAAGGAAAACACATCAATATAGGACTTTCATGAACACATCATCCTTATATAATTCAATCAGTCTTGGTCATGACCCTGCATTACTCGTAAAAGAACCACTGTCTTCAAACATCTAATGAATTATCTTTGTTATCATACAATTAACCTCTTGTGTATTTCTCCTCCAGTGATTATGAGGGACTGTGATTGTTATTTTTAAAAAAGTGATTATATCATGCTATTTTTGAAAAGAGCAGAAATTACAAGTATTCTGATTTTTTAAAATGTTTAATATCCTAAACTCTTACCAACCGTGACTATTAAACATAAGGTCGAGGCTGAGGCTATTGATGATTCACACAGTTATAGTTAAGCCATAAAGGCCTATGACATACCAGTTTTAATGACACCAACCTCAAAATTTATAAAGCACCTCTAACATAATAAAACATCCCAACACACTTCCAGGAGAATTATAAAACAAAATATAACCCCAAGCTAGATAAAGGAGATATTGTGTCAGAGACCAAAAGCTTGTTAAAAGAGGGAGGTTTTATGAAGTTTTTTTAAAGGAGGGAAGTAGACAGGTTGGGATCAACGCAATTGAAGACATGCTGCTCAATCGTGGGAAGGAAAGGTCAGAATTAGAGAAATACAGATATTCCAGAGACAGAAGTAGGGAGCAGTTAGGCCACACAGGGATTTGAAAATAAGGAGGAGAATTATAAAACAAATTATTGCTTTCCTGGGGCCAACCTAAATTTGTAAGCACTGGATGATAGGATAGCAGAAGGAGGCTGGGACAGAGGAGGAGTTGAATGATGTTACAGAAATGGAATAGAGGGTTCTAGTGATGGCATGAATGTGGGGTCAGAAGTTTATCTCAAGTCAAGTGTGACACCAAGAAGAGGAGTGAAGTTGGTAGTGAGGGAACAGAGTTTGAACTGGCAACCTTAAAAATAGTCTCGGTTTTCCCAATAAATAACTTGAGAAAAACTGCTCCTCGTCCACTATTGGATGTCAGATAAGCAGTCTGATTAGTAACAGCGGAAGAGTCAAACATGTTGGTGGTGAGTCTTGTCCAGTAGAAACAGATATGAATTGAGATGCTTCTGTATATCATGAGGTAACAAAGACACCAGCAGTCATGTGGAAGAAACTGTGAGGAAATGAGGGGTAGTCCGTTGGAGTGTGAGATAAATTTACAGGGAACAGTAATAAATATATTTGTGTAAATGGAAGACTTTGCTGAGTCAGAAAGCAGAAACTCATAGGTAGGAGGAAACCAGGACAGACCATAAGCTACCAGCCGGGACAAGGATTTCCTCATCTCTGCAATGTGCAGAATAGAACTCCAAGCAACAAGCTTCAAAGGAACATAAACCAGTGAAGTAGAGGTTGGTGTCAGCATACGTGTGGAAACAACACTGTGCTTTTGGATAATGTCACTGAGGGACAGCTTGTAGATTCAAAATAGGAGGAAATAACCAACTTGTACTGAATTAGTTTTATCTCAGTGGGGTTAATAACAGATGCACTATAATTCTCCTCACCATTCTTGGATCAAGGAGGGGAAAAAACATCAGCGCGCTTTCACAATTTAGCAGTCACATCATGAGAATCAGTGGAGGACAGGTTTGCATTCATTTCTAAAAATTGTGTGGCAGATCTCCATTCTTAACAGCATTATGGAACAACAACACCAGACTGCAGAAATTTAACAAGATAATTCAGCCATCACCTTATCAAGGACAATCGAGAATGGGAAACAAATGCTAGCCTTACCAGCAATGCTCACATCCCAGGAGCAAAACATAAAACAAAAGAGACTTTGTATGGGCATGAAGTCAATCCAGACTGTGTCATATGATACATTGTTCAGCTTTGCACGGCCTCAGTGGCAATAATTGGTTTATGTTCCCTGGAAGATTGTGGCTCGGGGTCCCATTCTGGACACTGGAGAGATAGCCATTCTTGTTTCTTCTTGGATATGTGGCCTGTAATGGTTTCCCCTTGTTTATGAATGACTGTTGTCTTACTGTAAGCAATTATGTAAACTCTTTTATTTGAATATTCTGCATAATATTGTTGTCTGTAATCTCACTTGTACAAACTTGGAGTGGCATAGTGGCTCAGTGGTTAGCACTGCTGCCTCATAGTGCTAGGGACTCCGGTTCTCCCTCTATCTGTGTACGTTTCCTCCCACAATCCACAGATGTGCAGGTTAGGTGGATTGGCCATACTGAATTGTCTTGTAGTGTCTGAGGTTGTGCAGGCTACGTGGATTAGCCATGGTGGATTAGCCATGGGAAATGTAGATAGGGTAAGTGATGGCATCATCTTCGGAGGGTCAGTGTGGACTTGATGGTTGAATGGTCTGCTTCCACACTGTAGGGATTCTATGATGTCATCTTTTGTTTACAGTCTGTTGAAAGTGACTATAGATGTCACTGTTATATTTATTCAGCATTTAACTAACAATAATAATGAGAATGGATACCATAATAATCTATGTATTCAAAAATAATCCATTGGCTGTAAAACTCTTGGGAACATTTTTAAGATACAAAAGGCTCAATGTAAATTCAATGTTTCTTTGCAGCTCCATGTGTAAACTAACATGTTATTCAGTTTGTACATCTGTCCTGTGTAATGGCAATGAAATTTTTTTCAGCATCCTATACAAGCCTCTTTGCACAGTCCACTTAGTTTTCATTCAAAGCTTTTTACCAGACTATGTATACAAGGTTCCATGAACTGCTCCTGTCCTTAATGTAATTATTTGAGCTCCTTTCTCTTTCCACGATTTTGCACAAATTGGTTATACCTTATATCCTTGTATGTCTCCATTCTGTGCTTCAGGTGGAGGAGGCTCCCAAGTCAGGTCTAACTGTGTTGCTGTTGAGCTTTGCACCTGAACATTTTGAGGTGGCGCAGTGGGGACTAAATTAAAAAAATAGGGGAGGTATTAAGCACAACAATAAAAACACATTGCTAATATACATGTAAAGTATGAGAGGACATCATTTAAAATATCACAACTTTCCACATTTGACAAAAATGTTAAGTTTAAATAATACCTCTCCTCCCTTGGTTTGACTTAGATTCACAGAATCTTACAATAAAAGAGACCATATGTTTCGTCATATCTATGGCACTCTTAGAAAAAGCTAATAGATTTATTCTGCCCCAATTATACTTAGCTCTACTTCTCCATCACAACCCTAGATCCTATGACTGTAACTGTCACTAATTATTTGTCCTAAATTGTAGCTCAACGTTGATAAGGCTGTTTTAATACCCATTAAAAACTCTGCATTCTAAGAGATTCCATTCCTGTTCCTAGATCCCAAATCATGTTCAAACTGACAGTGTGCATTGTTACACTCAAACTTATCTTTAAAACATAGATTTGGTCTATCAAGAACAGCCACCTTCAGTCCAAAATATAATTCATTCTCTATCAGACACCGTCTACTGCTGAGATCCTCATTTGTGCTTTTGTCATTTCTAGCCTTGAAATTTTAATTGCTTCTTTGTTAGCCTCCTGAGCTAAACACAGACTAAACAACAACTCATTTCAGACTTTGGTCTCCTTATCCTATCCTACTTTAAACCCCACTAATCCATGATCCTGAACACCAACCAACTTATCCCGTAACATCAAAATTATCAATCATTCTGTAGTTTTTCCTTTTGTGTTACCATTTCTACTTACATTGTTTGCTTTTCATAACTCTGACAGACATTTTGTTCCTCTCTTCTTTTTCTGTACCTCCAACAGCCCTATTGAAACTTACTTCTACGGTATATTCAATCACATTGCCAAATTCAAATAACTTTTTAATCTGCTTAGATAGACTTTAAACTGTGAGGTAGCTAAGTACAACTTGCCACAGTAAACATGCTACAAGCATCTAAACTTCTGTTTAATGTCTGTCCATGCAATTGCTTATTTTAGAAAAAAATAACAAACTGGCTAAAACAACCAAACATATTTGACTCTTGTTATCAATTAATTGCCTAAGCCACAGGTTAATTCTTGCAATTTTTGAGCTCTCAACCTCAGGAAAGTTATTGGGGGAATATGTTTAATTAAACTATGGTTCTTCACAAAGAGAGAGGAAATATAGGAGGGGTAATTTCAAGGGGAGCTTCATATCGACTTGGTCACTTGTTCACTCTCTTAGCTGAAGACTAGTATGTGTTCAGTAAATACACATCAGCAAATATTTTTGAAATGTGCACAGTCCATACCAATTAGCTCAGTAACATGCTCAACTGGCAGTAAATGAATAAAATAGAGGGCAGGCTGTCAATTTTAGCAGTGACCACCTTCTATGTTATTGGAACCAGGCTGGGGGGTGGGCAGGAAGGTGGTGGATTGGCCAGTATAATATCTACATCCCTCAAAAAACATATCCAGTGAGGAGCAAATTACTGCAGATGCTGTAATCTGAGCTGCAATCAAAAGTGCTGGAGATCACAGTGGTTCAGGCAGCATCCATGGAGTGAGAGCAAGCTAACGTTTTGAGTTTAGATGACTCTTCAACAGAGCTGAAGTGAAGTGTGGAGAGGGCAGCATTTGTGCTATAGTATGAGGGGGGAGGTTGGAGTGCGGTGGGAGAAAGGATGTTGAAAGGTCAGATTAAGTGATCGGAATGTGAGAAGGGCAGAACATAGTGTGTCTAACCACCAGACTGGGAGGAATGGACAGTGCCACTGGGGTTTGGGAAGGGGAGAGAGAGAGAGAGGGTGAGAGAGAATGTAACAAGCAAAGCTTAAAGAAAGGGAAGGAATGGGTTCACATTTCGAAGATGTTGAACTCAATATTGAGCCCAGAAGGTTGTAAACTACCTAGTTTGAAGATGAGATGTTGCTCCTCCAGTTTGATTCGCTGGAGCACTGCAGCAAGCCGAGGACAGATAAGTGGGCATGTGAGCAGGGCGCTGTGTTAACATGACTGGCTACAGGAATGTCAGGGTCATGCTTGCGCACAGACCAGAGGTGTTCTGCAAAGCCATCACTCAGCCTGCGTTTAGTTTCTCCAGTGTAGTGTAGGCCACATTGGGTGCAGCGAATACAATACACAAGATTGGAGGAGGTACAGGTGAAATGCTGCTTTACCTCGAAAGATTGTTTAGGCCCTTGGATGGTGAAGGGTCAGGTATTTTATCTTCTGCAGTTACATGGGAAGGTGCTGTGGGAAGGAGAAGTTGTGTTACTGGTTGTGGAATGGACTAGGGTGTCCCAGAGGGAACGATCCCTGTGAAATGCAGACGGGGGGAGTGAGTGGAATATGTGTTTGGTGGTGGTGTTCTGCTGGAGTTGTCTGAAATGGCAGAGAATGATCCTTTGAATGCAGGTGGGTTTGAAAAGTGAGGACATGTGGGACTCAATCATGCTGTTGTGAGTGACAGGAAGGGGCAAGGGTGGAAGCACGGGTGATAGGTCTGGGTGCAGTTCAGGGTCCTGTCAATCACTGTGGGTGGGAAACCACAGTCATGGAAGAAGGAAGCCATGTCAGCAGCGCTGTTTTGGAAGGTGCTCTCGTCCAAACAGATACAATGTAGGTGAAGGAATGGGGAGAATGGGATGGAGCCCTTGCAGGACATGGGGTGGGAAGAGTTGTAGTGATGGTAGCTATGGGAGTCAGTGGCTTTCTAGTGGGTGGCAGTGGATAGTTTATTCCCCGAAATGGAGACAGAGAGGTCAAGGAAAGGAAGGGAAGTGTTGGAATTGGACAATGTGAAAGTTATAGGGGGTGGAAATTGGAGGCAAGATGAACAAATTTTTCAAGGTTCAGGCTGGAGCAAGAAGCGGCATTGAAACAGTCGCTGATGTACCAATAAAAGAGTTGTGGGGGGGGTGCAGTGTAGAACTGGAATAAGGATTGTTCCACATGCCCCATAATGAGGCAGGCATAACTGGGACCCATGCAAGTGCACATAGCCACTCCTTTGACTAGGCAGAAGTAAGATGAATTAAAGGAGAAATTGTTCAGTGAGAGAACACATTCAGCCAAGCAGAGAAGAGTGTTTGTTCAGGCCTCCGGTCGAGGAAAAAGCCGAGAGCTCTCAGACCATCCTGCTGGGGAGTGGAGCTATACAGGGATTAGACATCCATGGTGAACAGGTGGCAGTTAGGGCCAGGGAACTGGAAATTGTCAATATGGCGGAAGGCATCAGAGGAATTGTGGATGTAAGTGGACAGGGTCTGAACAAGTGGAGAGAGGATAAAATGAAGGTATGAGGAAATGAGGTTGGTGGGGCTATCAACAGCCTTTTTGCCCCAGCACTCCAACCTTCCCCCTCGCACTGTTGCATAAATGCTGCTCCCTTCACACTTCACTTTAGCTCTGATGAATAGTCATCTCGACTAGAAACGTTAGTTTGCTCTCTCTCCATGGATGCTGCCTGACCCTCTGTGATTTCCAGCATTTTTTGTTTTCATGTTCAGTAAGGAGTTGAGAGTGAGTAGTTGTATGTATAATCTAGTCAATGGTCAGCCTATAGTGCACTTTAAAATGCATTCAGTTTTTATGCAATAAAATGTTTCCACTAATTAGAAAATCTGCAGACAGGTACAGATTGTGATGTCTATTTATTAGGAGTCAAAAGATTAAAACATTGAGATTTTTCCAGCAACTATTTCAGGTAAATGAAGCTTAAAAACAAATACATACAGAGCTTGATGCAGAACTGCTACATTTCCAAAATAAACTTTTCTGGCGCTTAAAATTCCTCCATATCTTCGCCTACCCCCACCCCCTACGTTAATGCTGGTTGGCTTACCTGCTTCACCTACGAATACTTCTTGAGGTGAGCTGGTAGGACCCTCGCCCACTGCATTGTAGACACTCATTCTGATTTCATATCGCCTGTGCTTGCTCAGATCTACGCAGATTCAGACAGAAAGTCAATATAACTGACCTAAATGAGATGTCAAGTACATTTTCAATGCTTAATTATTCTAATCAAAAATTATTCCTTAAAACCTTCCTAACTAAAGGCTATCCACTGTTAACTAAATATGCAAGTGATGGATATTGGCTGACATTTTGTTTCTGAATCTAGATCTCTGCATTGACTGTGGCAGACTTCACTCAGCTACTATCTCCCCCACCTCCCTTAAATCTTTCCTGCCCTCATCAATCTAGTCCTATGCCTCTCATAATACTTTACATTTCATTTTTTGCAATCTGATTCTTATCTAGGCCCATTTTCTACTAAGCACTACTTTGGCTTAAATCATGAAAACCCTATTTCCTGTGGGAGTTTGTAAAACAAAAATAAAATCTTTAGAAACCAAAATAAACTATATCATGGTAAAGTTGAAGTTGAGAAGGTTTGGTTTCTCAGCAGGGCCTTTTTCTCTTGAGTCTACAATGACTGTTTTTATGAAGCTAAGATGATGGTCTCCAAATCTAATCCTTAGTATAACTTAACATCAATGCTCTGATGTAAATAATCTGTGTCAGACTTATCCTCCTTTCTTAAAATAAAAGCACTGTATCTTTTGCAGTCTTTCAATATTGTAATAACCATAACAATACCAAGAGAATGTTACTTTATTTTGACAGTTCTGCACAAATTACTGTCCCGGTCTCCTTTAGCATCCTAGATCCTAGTACCTAGAGTTGGCAATCTTTTAAACTTGTCAGCAAATTTTTTTTTAAGCTGATTACAGTCAAGCTATTAAGTCAGAAGGATGTAAACTCAGGTGCCACCGAGATGCCCGCTCTTGTGGTTTGAACAATATGTTAAAGATCTCCTGATATTATTCTGAGAGGAACAAATAATTCTGTAGGTACATTGACCAACGTGGCTTCCTTTATCAACAGCATGAGAAAAAAAACAAATCAACCAGTCATTTGCACGACTTACTTGTAGAACTTACAGTGCATAAACTGGCTTCAATATTGCCAACAAAATAAGTAATGCCAAAAAGTAATCAACTGTGTGTTCCTAAAGCACTTTGGCACATTTGAAGCAGATGATATGAATTTAAGACTATCTTTCTTTTCTTTACCAAACATCACCTCCCTGGAAACTTTGAAATATTTGTTGATACACATTATAGTGTGACAGCTAACAAATATTATCAACTCTGATTTAACATTGATTAATCCATTTTTAATCTTTTAAAAAATAATTTTGCAAATTATTCTTGTACTGCTCTACTATAATGTTCAAAAAGTAGTTTATTACTGTGTTTATCTTCTGCTTTATTTCTCCCCTATGGCCTTTCTGCAATATATTTCAATATTTCCTTATGTTCCTTCCAAAGTTCATCCTGTCCTTTTGCTCTCAAGGTTTCATGGAATCTGTTTTTTTTTGTTATCTTTGTGTTGATTTTCTGATTCATCCATTTTGGAGATGGCTCATTTAGCTTGGACTAATTTTTCTGCATTTTCCATTTTTTTAATATTTAACGTTACACCTTTAAAAGATCTACATTTGTCCTTGGCAGCTACCTTGATGAATTTCTTTCACTCCATAGTTAATCCATTAAAATATTTTGTGTCGAAATGATATATTTATTTCCCACTCCTTGTACTGACAGAGAGATGTTCAGAGCTTTGATCATGTCATGTACTTTAGCCCAAAGGAGGAACAATTTATAAATATTAGAAGCATCTTGACTGCTTAAGTATAACAATATTAAGTATAACAATATTAAGTATAACAATACTGGGTATGCATGACACATTGCAGTCAAATTTACCATCCTATTGTCAAGGTCTGAAGAGTGTCATGTGGTGGCAGGGCTGGATTTTTAAAATATTTGTTCATAGGATGTAGGTATTGCTGGCTGGATCAGCATTTATTGTCAATCCCTTATTATCCTTGAACTGAATGGCTCTCTAGGCCACTTCAGGGAGTAATTAAGAGTGTCATTACTGTGGGTCTGGAGTTATGCATAGCATACTTCATTCCCTAAAGGACATTTGAATACAGATGGGATTTCACAACAATTGACAGTGATCACATGGTTGCCATTAGAAGAGTTTTTAATTCCAACTTTTTATTGATTTCAAATTCAGCATTTTGCCTTTCCAATAATCTGCCTCCAATGAATCTGCTCACTTTGTATGTATCTCCATTTCTTGATATTCTGTAATATCTTTCACCCTTCCGTGTTGTACTATTGCTCTCAGTGGCTTTCACCTCCACAGCTGCTAGTGGCTAAATAAATCTGATATCTCTTGTGGTGAGAGAGAAGGGTGTCAGCTTGAGTGTATAACCCTCAACGTGGGTACAATGGAACACAGCCAAATGACGTCTACATCTCTAAACTCCGAACTGAAGAACACTTATTTGTATGAGATCCCAAAAGATGGCGAACACTCATGGAGCTGTAAGTCTGCTTGGTTTATTGCCTTCTGGAAAGATGCAGAGAAATTGTGTTAAAACATAGAGAAAGGAATGAGAAAGTTAACTTACTGTCCAGTTCATATTGCGCTAGGGTTGAGTCACTAAGGTTCCGAACATTATACACAGCTACAGGATGTGTGATAAAATGAAGAGATAGTTTACAATGAACAGTGAATATTAGTGCGCAAAAACATCAATCAAGTTACTTTCATTTAAGCACCAGCAGCAGGCATAACTGAACAACACAGTAATAATCTTGCACTGGTGGTGGTAAGTTAATCTAGGGTTATTGAAACAAAGTCAAAACAAGGTTAGAAAAACACAGACAACAAACTGAAACCAATGAATACAATGAGACATTGAATGTTGCAGCGTGTACTGCACAATGATTGTTTAAATATTGGTTAATAATACACATGGCCAATACAATTTACTGCTAACTCTATAGACATTACTTTTTATATAAATCCTGTGTTAGATGGTGTGTATAGTGAGGTTCCTGAGATGATATAGCACAATTCTACATTACTATTATTGGTGAGGCCTACTAGGCTGCTCCATTTCCTCTGTGTGTCTGTAACAGTTTAAGTCATGTGTTACAGGCGACAAATAAATAGTTGGGAAGATCTCAATGATCACAGAAAAACATTCAATGCTATTAAATGTCATTACGCACTAATTCTCTACAGATGTTAAAATTACTAAAGCTTATTGACATGAAACAAAGAAGGAAAAGATTGTAACGTTCGCTTTTTTTTCTCAGTTTGCATCATCTTAGTTAGGCCACTTTTGGAATATTGTGTTCAATTCTGGTCTCCCTGCTATCGGAAAAATGTTGTTAAACTTGAATGGGTTCAGAAAAGATTTGCAAGGATGTTGTGAGATTGGAGGGTTTGTGCTGCAGGGAGAGGCTGAATAGGCTAGGGCTATTTTCCCTGGAGCGTCGGGGGGTGAGGGGTGATCTTATAGAGGTTTATAAAATCATGAGGGGCATGGATAGGATGAATAGCCAAGGTCTTTTTCCCCAGAGTAGGGAGTGCAAAACTTGGGGCCATAGGTTTAAGATGAGAGGGGAAGATTTAAAAGGCACCTGAGGGGCAACTTTTTCACACAGAGGGTGGCGCGTGTATGGAATGAGGAAGTGGTGGAGGCTGGTACAATTACAACATTTAAAACCCATCTGGATGGGTATATGAATAGGAAGGGTTTAGACAAATATATGCCACATGTGGGCAAATGAGACTAGATTAAATTAGGATATTGGGTCAACGTGGGCAAGTTGAACCAGAGGGTCTGTTTCCGTCCTGTATGACTCTATGACTATGACTGTATAGTATATACTAATTTGACTATATGTTACACAGTCAATATTTCATGATCCATAGTATCATATAGACATTGAAAAGCTTTAGATTTTGTTCAGTTTTCAGTGAGTCACGTGGATGGTCACAATAATTGTATGTGGCAATCTTTATGCAAAAAAGGTAATTGAATATCATACCACAGTTTTATTAATACAAAGCAACACATTTGGAGTGTTTATATTCTTCAAACTTTTTACTGCTGGGAAATAACATGTTTCCCACTTGTTTCTCATGGGTTTACGTTTCAGTATTGCTTTCTTTAACAGACCTTCAGCAATGTGCCTTCAGTCCAACAGCACTGATACCTACTGGTGATACGCGTCTGTTGTATTTCTGAGTGAGAATGCCAATTTATTGCCAAATGATAAAACTTACCAGTTTTTAAGATTTACTTATGGGATGTAGACATTGCAACATAAATATGCCAGGATTTACTGCTCTTGAGAAGACCATAAGGCCACAAGCTTTATTGGTCCATTCAGCCCATCAAACATGCTGTACCATTTGACTGACTTATAGTTACTGTTTATTTGTCTCCCTTTTTCAATAAGGGTTTTGCATTGCTGGATTTCGAATCTCCTAAATCTTCTCTATAATCTGAGGGTTCTTGGAAGTTTACTATGAGTGTATGCACTTTCTCTGCAGCTACTTCCTTTAAAATGCTCGGCGATACCCATCAGGTCCAGGGGACTTAACAGCATTTAGCCCCATTAATTTCCCTTGTACTTCTCATCTAGTGATAGTTATTACGTTTATATCCTCCCACCCCTTTAGTTCTCGATTATTTGGTATATTTTAATTGTTATAAGTATTTTCTACCATGAAGACTGATGCAAAGAATTTATTCAACTGCTTTGTTATTTCCTTGTTTCTCATTATTATCTCCCTGGTTTCATTCCTTAAGGCCACTTTAGCCTTTCTTTTTATGTATTTAAAGAAACTCTTGCTGTCTGGCTTGATATTATTTGCATGTTTGCCTTAATAGTTTGTTTTCTCTCTCTGTTGTACTTTTTTGGTCATTTTTTGTTGATTGGGAAAATTTTAGAAGTCCTCTGGTTTACCACTTATTTTTGTCACATTGTACATTTATTTTTGTTTCAGTTTGACACAGGCCTTAACTTCCTTGGTTATTTTCTCAATCATCTGCCATTGCTCCTCCATTGTCATTTCTGCTGTAGACCTTCTTATGTCCAATCCAGCCAACTTTTTCCCTCATACCTATCCAATTGCCCTTATTTAAATTTAGCACATTTGTTTATGACTCAAGTTTCTCTTTGTCAAAATGAATGCAAAATTCTACCACGTTATGGTCACTGTTCCTCAAGGGATTTTTTATTCTGAGATCATGTATTAAATCTGTTTCATTACATATTGCCAAATCCAAAATAGCCTAATATCTGGTTAGATCCCCAACGTTTTGTTCTCACAAATTGTTCTGAATACACTCAATAAATTCATCCTTATGGCTGCTTTTGTCAAATTGATTTTCCAAATCTACATGAAGATTAAAGTCACTACTGATTAAAGTATTGCCTTTTTTATATGATTTTGTTATCTGAGATTGTTCTGTAGGCCACTTTTTTGAGTGAAACTCAGTGGTGGCTAAAATACACTTTTTTTTGTTGTAGACCTGGAATGACATGAAGGGCAAACTAGGTAAGAGCAGCAGATGTCCTTTCCAAACAGACATAATGGACTGGATGGAGTCTCATGACAATCTATTATCTTAAAATTAAAGATTTTTATTCCAGACCTTATTGCAATTAGTTAAATTTAACTTTTTCATTGTTATATGCTGGGATTTGAATTAATGTCTCCGGTTAGAAATCCATGATTATTAGTCTAGTAATATAACCAGCATGAGCCCTGGTTCATTTGGTTCATAGTCATAAAACTTCTGATTCAAAATGATGATTCTAGAAAATGATGATTTACTTCAAATGTAAACTCAGGTCTTAAATTACTTCTTTTAGGATTTCAGAGAAATGGAAGTGCTGATAATTTTGAGAAGAATTTGATTAGTTTATACATGCAGTTTGTAAAAAACACAGTCCTTTCTGTTAATTCCTGTTGCTGTGTTGATTGAGTTTCAACAATCACAGTCATGGTAAAACACAACTCAATTTTTTTGGATGGCAAGTGATACTTTTTGCAGGAAATATAGTCCTCATTTGTATCGTACCCGACAAAAATCACTAAAGACTGCATAAATCCACAGAATTTAGAGGCTATAACAACCATAATGGAGAAATTCCAATCACCTCTGACTTAGTTGAAATCAGATATAAGCCCCAGAAGTGAAAGGACAAAATTGTAACATGCTGTCGCACCAATTCTCCTGGAAGGAGCTTATTCACAGGAACAAACTATACATGCTTGCAGAGGAAAATTATAATTCAAATTGCCAGGCTAATACCATGCAAACTAATAAAACAACAGTGATCTGTACACTTGTGTAACAGAATATAACAACAAAATAGACTTACGTGTGAGTTCAGACCACTTAGCATTGGGATTGTTCACACTGCGAAGCGTAAAGCTTTTGTAACTATCATAAACTAATTCTCGGTAGCGAATCCGATACCCTAAAAGGATTCCATTAATTTTCTCTTCAGCAGGAGGCTTTGGAGGAGTAAAAAAATCTGTCAGTAGGCAATTAAAAACCAAAAGAACTGTCAATGCTGTAAATCAGGAACAAAAACAGAAGTTGTTGGAAAAGCTCAGCAGGTCTGGCAGCATCTGTGAAGAAAAAATCAGAGTTAACGTTTTGGGTCCGGTGACCCTTCCTCTGAGTTCTGAGCTTTTCCAGCAACTTCTGTTGTTGTGTCAGTAAGCAATTACTTTACAAAGATTGGGCAGTGAGTTGTCGCTAAGTGTAATGATTGGAAGGAGGTCAGCCAGGCGGATCTCATAGAATGTGGGTTCCCTGATTGTACCAGATTAACAGTCTCAATCAGGGAGCCCTGGCTGACAGATAAAAACAGGAGAGTCAGGGGTTCTGTTCACTCTCGTAGCCAGCTCTGAGCTAGCAGGGGTCGGTGTCATGTATTATGCATGCGTAAATAAATGATGACATGGTGACAGGATACCGACTCTCATGGAGTTCATTCCTGCCGTCGAGGACTGGGCCCAGCTATGTGGAAAGAATGCAGTACTTTTTCTGGGAAAATGGACATTGGGGCAGATAAAAAGAAATGAGTAATCCTCCTGGATGGCTTGTGGACCCACAGCTTTTTTGGTTATTAGAAGCCTAACTTTCCCTGAGGCACCAAATACTAAAACCTTTCAAGAGTTGATGGATTTAGCCAAGGAATGTGATGACCCCCAGCCTCCACTAATTCTGAGATGCTATGGGTTTTAGTCTGCAGTTCGAGAACCAGGGGAATCCAGGTTGGGATTTTTGACAAGGTTAAGATGACTGGCAGAGACATGTGATTTTGGTTTAACCGTAAGTGAGATGCTGACAGACTGTTTGGTATGTGGGATTAATGATGGAACCGTGCAAAAGCACCGAATAGCTGAGGCCCAACTAGTCTTCAAACAGGCAACACAACTGGCTTTGTCATTAGAAAATGTGGTAAGTGGAGTATGTGAGTTACAGGGTATTCTGATGGAAGTGGACGGCCTCGCCAGGTTTACTGAGCTTGGGGAACACCACTTGAATGAACTGCATAGCCTCATTCAGCACATTTCCTGAACAGAGGGACTCCAGGTCAGCCCACAGCAAAACCCCAAAAGAAAGCGAAGCCTCACTGAAATGGTTAAAATTTTCTCAAGGTTTTGGGCTGGTGGGCCATTTATAGTTGCTGCCGGTATGCGGACTCAAGGCAGCAAAAGAGTCCCACTAGGCCTGAATTCAGTGAGAGAACTCATAGGCCGTATCCAGGAGAGTGCACCTACATCTGGTTCGGAACAGTTAAAATGTTTAGCAACATCCAAATCAGAACCAATCAAAATAAATGACTGGGTAAATGGGCACCCAGTGCTAATGGAGGTCGATACCAGTGTGGCTGTATCAGCAATTGCGGAAGTAGTCTTTAGCAAAATTCGCTTTGGACTCCAATCCTTACGTTTGCATAAGACCTTGGCCAGGCCGCGAACCTATACTGTGGAACCTGCATAGATTAAGTGTACAACTTTGGTTTCTGTCTCTTATGAGAAGTAACTGGTTCACTTACCAAGGATTATAGTAAAAGGTTCAGGCCCAGGCTTGATCGGGTAAAATTGGTTGAGAAAGATTCAACTTGATTGGCTTTTTGGATTAGAAAATGGCTGCCTGAGTGAAGGCTAATTAAATACTCGAAGGTTTTTCAGAAAGGTCAAGGAACTAGCAAGTGGCCAAGGCCACCTTGCGTGTTGACCAGTAAGTAATTCCAAGATTCTGCAAGGCCCGCCCAGTGCCACTTACGTTACTTGCAGAAATAGAGGCAGAAATCAGGAGGCTGGAAAGCGAGAGAATCAAACCGGTGCAGTTTGTAGAATGGGCAGCACCGGTCGTATCAATTGTGAAGCCCAATGGTTTGGTTTGCCTTTGTGGGGATTTCAAGCAAACATTAAACTGCTTTTCACAGCTGAATAAACACCCAATTCCTTGCATAGAGGACTTGGGTGCAAAACTGGCTGGCACGCTGTCCTTCACGAAGTTGGACATGAGCCATGCGTACCAGCAATTGTGATTAGATGAGAAGTATGCTACAATTAATATCCATAAGAGTTTGTACCAGTATACAAAACTGCGAGCTGGGATATCAACAGCCTGTGTCACTTTCCAATGGATGATGAAGAAAATTTCACAAGGTCTACCCCAGATCCCCATTTATCTGGATGACATGCTAATAACCGGGAAGACCTATGAAGAGCATTTCGAGAACTTGGACATAGTGCTTAAATGTTTCTCCAAGGCGAGTGTACATGAACTACTTGGTCCACAGAGTCGACAAGACCAGGTTACACCCATCAGAAGGTAAAGTGAGGTTGATCAAAGGTGCTCTGCTCCTACATATGTACCGGAGTTTAGGTCTTTCCTTGGGTTGGTGAATTTTTACAGAAAATTCATACTTAACGTGGCCTTCATCCTGGCACCCTTACATCTGCTATTGTAAAAGGGTTTTCTTTGGAAACAGTTGTGTAGTCAAGATGTACCTTTTAGGGAAATGAAGAAGCAGCTATTGTAAGAGGCATGGTTGATGCAAGGTTAAGGTCCCGTGACATACAAAATTCGGAATGGAGAACAAGCACATGTACCCACATGAAAGCTGCAATCTCACAAACAGGGCAGGAGCAAACCATATCCAGCCCCTCAGAACATTCAGCAAGGCTGTCAGAACCTGTAGGTTCTCTTCCTCCGCAAAGCGTCGAAGAAACCTCTGAGGGTGAGATGGACACAGCAGATGTCGCAGTCTCAATGACATTACCACTCAAGGAAGATGAATTTTGGCCAAGATGCTCTGGGCCCAAGAGACGAACAATGCTCCAGTACACGTTGCCGGTATCCGAGGCAGAGTCGGAGGAACCGGACCTGGTATGAAAATATCCCAGGAGAAGCTACAGGAATAAGAATGGGCCTACATCCCCGGATTCCGGTCAGCCGAATAGATCTCATAGAATATGAGTTCCCTGATTTGGGCTGTTAATCTGGTCCAATGAGGGAGTCATGGCTGACAGACATAAACAGAAGTGTCAGGGATTCTGTTCACTCTAGGAGCTGGCTCTGAGCTAGCTGGGTCAGCGTCATGTACTATGCACATGTAAATAAAGGTGGCAGGATACCAACCCCTGTGGAGTTATTTTAGAAAGCCCTGTTCCACATGTTTCCACGTGGTACACAGTAGCAGTACAACACAGCACAGCATGAATATAATTTTGTGCAAGGAAAATCGTGTCTCACAAACTTGATTGAGTTTTTTGAGGACGTTACCAAATGATTGGCAGTGCAGTAGATGTTGTTTGTTTGGATTTTAGTAAAGCCTTTCACAAGGTTCCCCATGGTAGACTAATTAGTAAAGTTAGGTCACATGGGATTCAGGGTGAGATTGTCAATTGGATACATAATTGGCTTAATGGCAGGAGACAGAGTAATAGTGGAGGAGATAGCAAGAACTACAGATGCTGGAGTCAGAGACAACACAGTGTGGAGCTGGAGGAACACAGCAGGCCAGGCAGCATCAAAGGAGCAGGAAAGTTGATGTTTTGAGTCGGGACCTTTGTTCAGAAATGGGGAGGGGGAAGGGAGCTTGGAAATAAATAGAGAACAGGGGTGGTGCTGGGCAAGGTAGGTGGGATGGTAATAGGCTAGCGCAGATAGGGAGTGGTGCGGATTGGTCAATGGGATGAGTGGGGCGGATACATGGGAGAGAAGATGGACAGGTTGTGTCAGGTCAAGGAGGCGGAGATGAGAGGGAGGTTTGGACATGGGATGAGGCCAGGGATGGGAGATTTTAAAACTGGTGAATTCCATGTTTAGGTCATCATGCTGTGTGCACCTGAGGCGGAATATGAGGTGTTGCTCCTCCAATTTGCGGGTGGTGTAACTGTGACATTAGAGGAGGCCCATAGTGGAGGGTTGCTTTTTGGACTGGAGGCCTGTCACCAGCAGTGTTCCACAGGGATCGGTTCTGGGTCTTCTTTTGTCATTTATATAAATGATTTGGATGAGAACATAGAAGGCATGGTTATTAAGTTGTGGAGACACCAAAACTGGTGGCATTGTGGACAGTGAAGAATCTTTTCTACAATTACAAAGGGATCTTGATCAAATGGGTCAATGGACAGAAAAATGGCAGATGGAGATCAATCTGGATAAATGTGAGGTATTGCATTTTGGTACAACAAACAAGGGTAGGGCTTTTACAATTAATGGTAGGGTCTTGGGTAGTGTTGTGGAAAAGAGGGATCTCGGGCCTGGGGGGAAGGTATGTAACTTGTTGATGTTTGTGTCACATATAGACAGGGTGGTTAAAAAGGCATTTGGCACACTTGCCTTCATTGCTTAGTCCTTTTGAGAATAATAATTGGGAAGTCATGTTGAGGTTATACAGGACACTGGTGAAGCCTCTTCTGGAATATTGTGCCCAGTTCTGGTCGCCCAGTTATAGGAAGGATATTGTTAAGCTGAAGAGGGTTCAGAAGAGATTTACCGTCATGTTGCCAGGTATGGAACGTTTGAGTTATAAAGAAAGACTTGATAGGCTGGGATTTTTTCACTGGAGCATTGGAGGTGACCTGATAGATTTTTATAAAATAATGAGAGGTATAGATAGAGTTAATGGTAGTCGCCTTTTCCCTAGGATGGAGGATTTCAAGAAAAGGGGGCACATTTTTAAGGTGAGAGGAGAGACATTTAAAAAAGACATGAGAAGCAATTTTTTTTTACACAGGGTGGTTTGTGTGTGGAATGAACTTGCTGAGGAAGTGGTGGATGCGAGTAAAATTGCCTTTGTTTAAAAGACATTTGAATGGATACATGAATAGGAAAGGTTTGGAAGGATATGGACCAGAAGCAGGCAGGTGGGACTAGTTTAGTTTGGCATTATGTTTGGCTGGTTGGACTGAAGGGTCTGTTTCTGTACTGTATGACCCTAACCTCGAAATGAAGCAGCAAATTGCTGAAATTAATACTCACTTGGCTACATGCTGCCAGTAAAATTACAGACTTAAAAAATGAAATACGCAGTTTCAGAGCGGTATCTTAAACTCACCTGCCAACGAATCATTACTGAGGTTGTGGTATGTGGTGTGACAGAAAGAATTTCTGGTGCCTCATCTGGTGCTACAATAAAAAATTAAGCTTTTGTTTAAAGCCTTGTGACAGCATTATGATGTTAATAATTACAAGTATATGTAAAAACATTGCTTGTGATGCTAGTTATAGTATTCAGATTATTCATTACACATGCCTCCTCCTTCAGGTGAAAATTTTTAGATTTGTAAAGCTGCATTTCCTCAGTATATGGCAACAATACCATCTATATTCCCATTCATTTTTGAAAATGTTTCAAGGTTCTTCCCTCCTTTTCTCCTAAAGGCAGAGACCCAAATCTTATGAACTGAGTGGGAAGCCTATTTCTGACCCAGATCAAACAAAACTTAGCTGTGATTTTGAGATCCATCTTCTGATGGAAGACACTGCAGAACTTACTCAGCACAGGATAATATTTGTGGAAGCTACGGCCGCTTTCTGTGGTAGTCACTGTTGTATTCCATTAAGTAAACACAGGTTAAGTGTTCCAAAGCCTCTTCGAGAAATGCCAGAAAGAAACGCCTGAGGTGGTAGTTGGATGATGGGGTCAGTTAAGTCCAGAGGTACTTGGGTTAGGTCAAGCATGGGGGTGGGGAGGTAGTCATTGATGGTGGGTTCCAGATATGGTACAGTAAGTCTGGTTTACCACTGTTCAGAGATTGTAAGATCTGGGTCAGTGTCTCCTGTTGCTGTTTACCTTGTTCAAGTTTTATTTGAATCACAGAATTGCTATAGTGTAGAAGCAGCCATTAGTCCCATCTTCTCTGCAATGACTCTGAGCATTTTGACTATTGACTTTGTGCCAAATTCATGTCTTTTCGCCATAACCCTGCACATTGTTTCTATTTAAATAATCATCCAATGCTCTTTTGAATGCCTCAACTGAATACAGTTATTATTGGCAGATATCGCAGTTGAGTACAACAATCCAGTCATTATCTGATATCAATACATGTACTTAGCAGCATCCTCACTAGATAATGTTTAACAGCCATTTTCTTGACTAAATTTCTTCTTATTTCAGTGGGACTGAGAGCAATTATAATATCTAACTGCTTCTCATGTTTAAAATTCAATTTGGCAGCCATTGGGCTGTGCAGCCCAGGTTTTTCCAACTAATCCATTAATGAAACATATGTTGTTCTTAAGTTTATATAAAGTTAAACCTTGACCTTTTATTCCAGTCATTGGCACTATGAGTGTAACTATACATAAGATATCCTTATGCCATGTCTATTAGTTGGTCAGACTAAATTGATTTTTTTTTGCAATTTAGAAACTTCCAGCACGTGGATAAAATATTATACCTTAGTACTCTTGGTTTAATGCAGTAACATGATGAACATAATTACAAATGCAAGCATTTATAAAATTATGTTTTAAAACTGTTGTTTAATTTAGGTAAAATGAAGAAATGATAGCGGTCATCTGACCCATTTAGAATTTTGCTGACAGCAATGTGGGTGGCTTTGTTGTTGGCTTATTGGGAAGAAAATGCAGGATATTCACATCTGGACTACCAATGCAGTGACATGATCACTGTGCCACTGCCCCTCCCATATAGTGGTATTTGAATATTTGAAATGTAGATGAAGCTTCAACAATATTTTATGCTGACATTTGTCTCAAAATTACGTCAAGTCTTGCACAATTGAACTCCTGCTGAATGCATTTTCTCACATTTTACACAGTCATGTTCTGCAACATTTACTGCATACTTGCCAAAATACATGAATATTTCAGTCTTAAGTACCATTAACTTTTCGGTCTGCTCTAATTATTAACATTCAAAGTGAAATTGTAAACAACAGCATCGTTAAATTGCTTCTTATTACTTATGCTGCAAGTTTACAAGAATTCATATTTGAAAAAAAACATCATTTATAAAATAAATATTTTCACTGATAACATGCTGCATGGCCAAAGAACAATGAGTTTCTTTCCAGCATTAGAGGTTATTTGGTTTCTGCTGGAATGTTAACTGTTCTGTGACTGGTCAAAACAAACTGCTCTGAACTGTATCCATGAACTATTGGTGTGAAGTATTCCACTGACAGAGTTGAGGGATGCAGCAAAATAAAATCTGAAATTTGATAAACTACTTCAGCATGTTTTTAGCAACAAACTTGGATGTAGCAATGACAAGAGATTTCTAAGCAGATGGTTATTCAAAAACTCTAACTGAGCGACAAAAATAAAAGTGAGAAATGGACTAACTGCTCTGCAACTGTCCATTCTAACATGTACCCTCCAACCACATTGGAAAATTCAGTCTCTGATGTTAAATGTCATTGTATTATACACAATGACCAGTTTACATCCTCATATCTAGTGTTAGCTCTGTCTAACTTCACCATCCCACCTCAATTTATCTTGCCAACAATCTCCTTTTAACTCCTTATAATCTTGCTTTCTGTATTTCTGTAGCCACTTTCAACCTTTTCAGGCTAGTGCTTCTTCACCTATAGTCTCCTGTGTATTTCTACCACTGGCAGCTGTAGTACCAACAATGTTATTTCCAATTTTTTGGAATTCCTTTCCAAAACCAATCAACCTCTCCACTGCCCTGTCTTCCTTTAAGCTCCTCCTTAAAACACACTGATTTGACCAACTGTTCAGTCAGTTCCTTTTACTATGTACTTCTTTGGCTTGATGTTGATTTGCATTTGATTATGCATCTGGGAAATGGCTTGGCATGCTGTTTAGTGCCCAAAGAGCTACATAAATGCAAATTTAGTTGTAGTCATGCAGCTTGTGCTGCAAGAGGTTGCAGTTTGTCTATGGCAAATATGGACATTTGCTTCTGATAAAACATTTTGGTATATTCTGTGGAAGCAAGTGGGCTGAGCTCATAGTCATGTGCAGAGCTGGACGAACACAACAGGCCAAGCAGCATCAGAGGAGCAGGAAAGCTGACGTTT